TGTAAACCTAGATTTTTAAACTTTTTGATGCTGCTCTTTCTACTAAGTGACTTAAATCCAAATGTATAAGTGACTATAGTGTACATGCTAACTTCTGACTTGATAATTGGTAAAATTAAAATCTTAGGGCTATTTATTTTAATGTAAAGAGCTACAGTAAAGAGCAATTCCACCTAAGTTGTATACGCTTTTCTTTAATTAGACCTTAACAAGATTTCTAGCCAAACGTCTTATTTTCCTCCAATATCAATAAATCTTTCCTCAAAAACTGTGTTGGTTCTTATTTAAAATGCACGGAATTAATAATATTCACAAATGTTATATTTCCTACCACTTTGTTAATATTTTCCTCGCCCAATTCTCTCCGTTTTACAGCAAGAATGACGTCAAAAGGCACAGCAGCAATCATGTCAAGGCAGAACCAGCCTCGAATATAGTTGAGAGCGATCGCCTTTGGCTGGTAAATCACCTGACCTCCCTTGCTCACAAAAGTGGTCCTAAAGCTAAGCGCAATATCTAAAAGTATGATGTGCGATTGTAAAAGGTAGTGTTATGGCCAAAGTGCTTAGATATATTGAATGACAAATTATATCTATAGTTAAGAACAATTTAATTGGAAAATACGATTAATAACAGGAATTTATAAGGGAAAATAACGGAAAATTATCAGCAATGAATGCCTAGCAATTTGTGAGAAAGGACTCGATAGTTTGCAAGTTAGCCAAAACGGAAAACAAAAAATGACTGGGCTTAGTTGCAGAAACACTTGATATGACACTGTATAAAGGATGAAGCTTCAGTTTGATGGCAGGCTTTTCTCTCATTACTCTTGTATTCTTTTAATTTTGGATGGGTTATCTGCGCTCAAATTCGTATAAATCACATAAAAGGAATGAATGTATTCACCTGATCATGAGCAATTAAACTAAGTATACACCATTTTGGCCTAAGTTTTATTTTACTAAGTCTTTTGGGGGACGATAATATCTCACACCTTCATAAATTCATTAAAAAAAGTTAAAACACTAAAAACCATGAAACATAAAGCACGATGAATTATAGAGCCATGCAATAATCGACTGTCTATATCACAGTAATCCTGATGGCAACGTTGCAGTTGTCTACCACCAGGTGAGATCCTTGTTCTTGGCCTTTCGCGCGAAAATATCCCATCCACTTATACGTTTACCTCATTTTACCACTCCCTCTTTTTAATCCCATTAATTCTATATAGGCAGCTCTTGAGTTTCATGAATTTCCACAATTAATTTATTTCAGAGATTAATTTCACACGCTGCATATCTTAATAAAATAATATCATCTCAAGTTCTGATCTCAAAAATAAAAATGTATTGCGATTGTTTCATGCTGCATATGTTGTGACCAGAAGCAACTAAGTAATTACTTGAGATTCGGTCAGGTCTTTTTTCGAATGTCTCAAAAATTTAGATATTTATTGCACCAAAATGTCGATATTCCATGAAGCATACAAGTGAAACGCTTTACCTGTTATTGGTGAATTTGAATTACAGTGTGAATATTAGGCGAGCTAGTTTTACTAAAATCTCGCATGGGTGCCCAAATCAATTTTTTTGTTTACATAAAACCTGAAGTAATGTAACATTTCTAACAGACTAAAGAATAATTGCCGTCGCTTACTAAGGCAAGCCCTGGCAATGCCGTCAGAAACGGCCATTCTATTTATAATGTGATCTATCTGCATTACAAAAGAATAGCAAGGTACTTTGACTGGGCAAGCAGGCTGCATATTGGAAAACAAAGTCAAAATAGACAATGCTTATAAGAATGATTGCATTATCCTGCATTGCTTTTCTGGCCTATTTCTTCTCGCTGTAGATCCATGTTTTTTACAGCCGATTTGATCAAATCTAAAAATATTGATGGAGGTTTTTTTCGGCCTTATGTGGAAAAAAAATGAGACAAAGTGCACATAGGAACCATTAAACAATCGTAAAATTTATATTTTATAAGTGAACATTTATTTATTAAGGAAAAGGTTCATGTCAAATATAGCGTGACAAAATGTCAAAATTTCTCAGATGCTCCATGATAAATTATGGCATCACAGGTAGGGTCTGAAATATCTGTTTTAATATTACTTTCCTTTCTCTTCTATTACCATTTTTTCTAAGCATGTCAATCGATTTCAATGAAAATATTTCTTAATTTTCGCTTTTACTTGCTTGGCTTGAACGAGGAGCTCTATTCAAATGTCCACTACTAGCGAGATGATAATGAAAATCATCTATTAAGACAGGATAAAGTTCAAGTTTACTAGTTCGCAAAGCATGTAGACTAAGCTTGTTCGAATGTAGGATTTATGCAATTTTTGTAAACTTAATTATAAGATCTGATTCAAGATAATTGTAGTGTCTGTCACCTAGTTTCAAATGACAAATATTGGGTGAAGCATTCCAGCCTTGGCATGTTTAGATAAGGTAAGAGAGATGAGCGAAAATTCGAAGCCATCATGATTTAATCATAGCCCACACATTTACTTTAATTTGCTACAAATTGAGATTTTGAAAATTGGAGGAGGTGAGTCAAAATCTTAATCCAATTTTAAAACCTTTGCAAGTTGTCAATATGTTGAATTCTTACATGATATCTTCTGATCTGAAGAGCAGTTTTCTCAATCGGGTTGGAAGATTTAGGCTTTGAGTCTCAAGGAATAGCAATGAGACAAGGTATTCAGCCTAAAAATTATAATTTCCTTATGCAATTGAATCCGTAACACTTGGATTATGTTGGTCGAAGAAGTTTTTCCAGCAACGGATTCATTTGCCATGGAATTATAGAGATGATTAATTTTCAGTTGATAACAGGCTTTTTCATTATTATTTTCGTATGCCTCTTAATTATCGATAGGCTATTTCCACTCAAGTTCGTATCAATCAAATAAAAGCATGAATCCATTTACCTGGTAAGAAGCAATTAAGTGCAGTATGCACCATATAGGCCTAGGTTTATGTTTTCCTAAGTCTTTTGGGTGAACATATTACCTCACAATTTCATAAATTTATTTAAATTGTAAGTCAATAAAAAACTAAAAGTTAAAGCACAAACGTATTTCTGGATTAGTCATTGCTACTTTCCTATTTGGATCCAGCTCCTCAAGCAGAACAAGGAATAAAAATATATTATAAACAGAATTCCCCCATCTATGCGAAAGACAGCTCTCATAAAATGGATTGATAAAAGAATTTTGTGTATAACACTTAAGGGTTCATTCTACATTTGAAAAAATTAATAAGTATTAATAATCTACGATGCATGTATTACAAGACCACATAAATTACAGTTTTGAGGGTGGACGTACAAAAATAAAGATGAAATTAGCTTCAAGTAGCCTAAACATGAAAGGCTTTACTTGTGGGGTACATATTCATTTCCAAATATTTAGAAATACTCTCATTGAGATTTATTTGTATGTAATATACGGGATAAAATTTGCTTGGTTTTGATCATGATTGTTTAAAGGGTGAAATAAAGAAATATAATTAAATGTTTTCCATTAATGAAATATAAATTTAAGGTTCTCTTGTTAGATGAATTAAGATGGCAAAAAAAGGAGCAATAAGAGCTGTATTTACCCCATATATATAAGGTGTTTAAGTACTGATAGTTTAATTTTCGATGAATACCATGAGTAGGCTTTATATTTCCATTAAATTTCACATAGGTCTGCTTCCCAAAAATTATTCTCATCAAGGGTAGATTGCAAGTTTGACCTTAGCTTTGTATCATCAGCACACACAACCGACTCGAACCATGATAGTGCAGCATATAATATTGACACGTTAACCACTATGCCATACTGCCCTTGGGTCAGGGGTTGGGTGGGCATTTCCGATAACACATTCTCTGCTTGGATTGTGGATGAAGCAAAGATGTAGTGCTGTAGCAATCCTTAAGGGGAGAATTTTTCTTATCTCTTAAATTGTAATGTTAAAAATATGATCACGTGTAAAAGTGTTTTCTTAATTCCTTCAGGATAAGTTACTTCTTTGAAGTTTTTTATATTTATCTCAGTAATCCTTATTTCAATTTTCAAAATAATGAACTGTGTTGTAAGTTGTCTATGAAGCAGAATGTGAACTCTAAAGCTGCAAATAAATATATGTGATAAATAAAATCCAGGACATGTCAAATTTAATATTTTTTAAGTTTTGGAGAGAAATCAATGTCACGGAATACATGTTCGATCTCTATCACTTTTTAGCATTTACATCCTTCATCTAAGCAGGGATGATTAAACTTCATAAGTCCTTACTCGAAGGATCTGCTTATAACTCCATGAATAATATATAATCATCAAATGTAATAGTTGGACTCGGCATAGCAACGAAGATTTTTGTGTCTGTTTCTTGCGGATGTTAAATTTTTTTTGGGTTGAGCTGACATGCCGACGAAAAGACTCGCAGTCACGGGGCACATGTTACTTTAGTGAATTAAAGGGATAAAACTGAGCAGAAACATAATTTATTTGAGGGTATGAAGAATAAGGTGGTGTGGCCTTCTGTATGGTTGCCGTGTCCTTTTGTTGCATAGAAGCTGTTTGACCTTGTTTCCTCAACTTTGTAATATTGGCAGGAAGATCTAGAGAAATACAACTTATCCGGAGTCAATAGTATGCATCATAATCTCTAGAGTCGGATCGTGGACATGATACATTCCTAGACGTTTGCCGGCCTCGTGGTAGGTATCAACAATGAGCCTCGCCATTTTAGCGCCACACTACAACTCGTCAAAGGGACAATACTTGCTGACGAGTTGTAGTGTGGTGCTGAGAATGGCAAGGCTCACTGACGATGCTGGCGAAACGTCCAGGAATGTACCAAGTAATAGATTAATTATTTAAGTTGTTAAACCCTGTTTTCGCAACTTGGTCATACTAGTTCCGAGTCCATTGTATTCATGATCATTTTTAAAGTCGGACCGTGGACGTGGTACATCCCCAGACGTTTCGCCGGCATCGCCAGTGAGTATTGCCATTCTAAGTACCAAACAAGAACTCGTCAAAAAGACAAGTGAAGCCCATCCTTTGACCAAACGTGTGCCAAACAGTTGTGGTATCTCCCATTCTGCCCTGGTCTCTTAACATTTCCTATATCCTCCAATCACGCCTTCACGGTTACAATTTTTACCGTGCTTATTTCGATGTAGCGTGGTTTGTCCTTTGAGCGGCATTCATTAAAACCGTTCACTCTTGTGCTGGAAATTTTGATCAGAGTCTGCCATATTGTTACGCAGTACTCCATCCCTAGGTCTTATCATAGTCTCTCTCTTGTCCCGTAAGATCCGTCTGCTCTCTCCCTGGTTCACGTTATTCTCTCAACCCCTTCCACCCCATCTATGCTACTCGAGGCGTTACTCGCCCTCCCCTGCGTCGTCTTGGTGACTAATTCGAGGCTAAAACCTCTGAGTATGTCTTATCGTTAAGCCTTTGTTACATGGACCACGTCTTTGGTACAACAGGCCTACTCTCTGCGAAATAGATCCAGTCTCCGCCGCGTCTATCCTGTTTCTATCCGTAATTCAAAGTCTATGACTTCCCATGCCCTAGTCTCTTGTGTGCCAACCCACAAATGTTGTGGTACTGCTTGCTTTGGTTAGGTTCAATGTAGAACCACAATGTTTGGGGGTTGGCACACAAGAGACTAGGGCATGGCAAGTCATAGACTTGGTATTAGGGATGAAAATAGGATAGACGTGGCGGAGACTGGATCTAGTTGGCTAACAATCGTCGTATATGATCAAGCACGTCTATTGTTAGCCAAATAGCTCTAGTCTCCACCGCATCTTTCTTGTTTCTATCTATAATACCATGTCTATCACTTCCTATGTCCAAGTCTCTTCCAACCCACAATGGTGGTGGTTCTACTTGTTTTGA